CACCACCCCTTCTTCTACTTACTTCAACTTCAACTTCTTCAACTTCAACTTCAACTTCTACTTCTACTGCTACTTCTACTGCTACTGCTACTGCTACTGCTACTGCTACTGCTACTGCTACTGCTACTGCTACCTGCTACCTGCTACCTGCTACCTGCTACTGCTACTGCTACTCCTACTACTACTACTACTCCTCCTCCTCCTCCTGCTGCTGCTGCTGCTGCTGCCGCCTCTGCCACTTCCACTAAACCACTACCACTCACTACCAATCACCACCGCCACCGCTACCACTACTACTACCACCACCTGCCACCACCACCACGAATACCGTATCACCACCACCACCACCCACCACCACCACCACCCATCACCGCTCATCACCACCACCACGACCACCACCACGTCGCCTACCACTACAAGTGCTGGTGTTGTGTGTAATGTTGTCAGGACAAGCAGCCCAGCTCCTTGCTGGGACTAGTGGGCCGGCCGCCACGGATGTACAACGGCGCACAGAACCGGGAGCCCCGAGACAAGGGCTCCACAGGTGTCGGGTCGCGTCCCAAAAAAAGAGTCCTCACATCGTGGATTCTTGATCTTAGCCATATGTGTCGCACCTTCGGGTCCCGTCTTCACGTTATGGGAGAGTCGTTTTGACAACACCAGGCTGGTGGACAACGAGCATGCTGCAAAAGGTCCTTGGTGCAGCTCGTAGGTGTTCGGGATCCTTTCACACAAGAATGACAACAGAATGATCTGTGAAGTTACCTATATCGTCCGTCCTCGACAATGCACCTGCAAAAACACGCTTCGTGAGTGTTTGCGTTTGCCAGAATTTCTTCATTACGACATATACTGGAACTGTCGATATTTTTTGGATTGACGCTTGTACTACCGTCTCTATCTGCTTGCACACTTGCTTGACTACCTAGCTGATTGCCACCTCCTTCCCTCCCAATCTGCTATCGCTCTATCTCTTTCTAGATTTGTAGCTGTGTATAAATATGTATACCTATACATGCACATGCACGTGGTAGGCCATGCAGACTCACTTACATGTGTGAGGAGGTGCGGATGCTCTGGCCGAGTTCCCCCTTTGCCGAGGATATGATATGGGAGGCCTTGTGCGCGGATATCCAATCAGCGTCCCTCCCGTTGCACCCATTTTCTTGAACCTAAGCAAGTAAGTTTATATCTGACCCCCTCCTGCTGCTGCTGCCTGAAACCTAATGCTAAAAATCTACCTCCCTCGTGACGAGCTGGATTCAACAAAATACACCCTAGCAAAAGTGGGGGTAGCTTTATTGTCACTTGAATGCTACCAACCCTGGTACATGCAGCTTCACTTGGACTCTCCAAGTTGCAGGGGTTGTCCGGTTGTCCTGCAAACTTTTTATCGCCGAAACGCTCAGACCCCCGACACCTTAAACCCTCTTGTCCTCCGTAGCCTTTGTGGTGTAGCAGTGATCATGCGCTAGTTTCTTGTAGTATGTACGAGTTGGACACAAGAGACCTCGTCTGGCGGAGTCCGAGTTGCGAGAGCGTAAACCCTCTTGGACAAGTTTCACCTTCAACCGACGAAGCACCAAAAGCCTCGCCCTTGTCCGAGAGTGAGCGCCGAAACCCCTCCATGTTGGGCCCAAGCAATTTCTGCGTCTTAAGCACCGCGTTGCAAGGAGCACCGTTCCTTCTTAAGTCAACATGGGATGCCAAACAAGCAAGGCCGCCGCAGCACCGAAGGCTCCCATCGCCGTGACGGAGGCGCCCGCGGATTCCAAGGCCTCCACGGAAGCCCCCACAGAGGAGGCCAGCCTCCCTCAGGCTGAGAAAGCCTCGGCTTCCTCGGCCTCAGAACCCCTGGAGGAGACAAAAGCGGTGCTGGAATCCGCCGCGGCAGCCGCTGAGAAGGCGAAGGAGGACCTCAAAGAAGAGGTCAAGCAAGCGGTGAGCAAGGAGGAGGACGTCAAGGAAGAAGCGAAGGAAGAAGTGGCGGACTTGACTGAAACGGTGAAGTTGCAGCTGAAAGGCCTGAAGGAGGAGGTCGCCGATGTTCCGGCGGTGGTGGAAACTGCGTTGCAGGGCGAGGCCGAGCAGCCTACCTGCAACCTCTTCGCGATGTGCGGTGCTTGAGAAAGTGGAGGTTTCTGGCAATCAGCGGCGCCCTAATCCGAAACCCTCCGCCCGAAAATCCCGCAACTCCCAAAGCAGGTTTAGGAAACTTCGACACACCAAACCCTGATGCCTTAATCTTGGGAGCCCTTTGTGCCGAGAATCCCCGCAGCTTTTGTACGGGCTTGTGTCCTGATCGGCGGTGCATGGGAACTGGGAAACCCACCTGCACTTGACGAAACTCGCTATTGCAATTGCCCTGCAGTTGATTTTCAGCTCGACCCTGAGCCCCAGACCAAGCATGCTGCCACCGTTCCGGTATAGAAGACAGCTCCAGGCTTCTGTCTCAGGAGCCTCACATGCCTGATTTTGCAGATTCTCCAAGAGCGCGATTAGAGTCTAGAGACCTGGGAAGTATCTGGAGGTTATGTTCAGGTAGAAGCGTATGGACTTGCCTATGACAGGCGCTCGGAGAATGAATTCGTTTGGCCTACAGATGATCGTGCCAGACGTTGCACACTGCGCATCACATCAGCAACCTGCTGCTGTCACCGACGATGTTTGCAACAGCAGCTTCGAGTTCAGGGGTGCAGTCGGTTGAATATAGGGGCCTTAATACTTAGAATAGGGTTTCGGGGGTTCCTTATTTTGATTATAGTATAATATATATCCCCCCAAACCCTCTATTCTAATTATTAAAGCCCCTATATTGGACATTCGGTTGCGTAGGACTCGACAGCTTACGACGAGGAGACCCACAAGGAACCCGAATTGCTGGCCTGGAGTGCGCCAGACTTTCAGTGCTCCTACCAGGAGTTTGAAGCAGACAAGCAACGAAAAAGGCTGTGGAGTTGTGTTAGTTGTGTTTCTTATAAAGTTAGTCTTAAAGCAACAGTCCTTATGTGGGTGTTTTTTACAGCACCGGTCGAGACATGCAGCTTTAACAGCTCGGTAACACTTTGGTGAGATGCACATGCCATGAACCTGAGAGATTGGTTCCAGATTGCAGTAACTGTTTGTGGAGGGTTTACGTATAGCCGCGTGGAGTTGAGTTCATCTCCAGTTGCTGATTAACCAGCAGTGAGGCGTAGAGTTGCTGACACGTGCTTTTAGGGCCGTTGTCCCCAATGGTTGGCGTCGGAAAGTCGTAGTGTTCACCTGTGTGGCCTTATCTCTACGGTCCAGTTCAGAGCTTAGTTGCATAACAGGTGTCGTGGATCATGTGGATCCTTGCCTGAAACCCCCAAACTCTCTCTCAACCCTGAACCTCGACAGTAAATATCCGCAACCCAAAATCCCGCATACGATACCCCCTCGTCGGAGCTTCACTTGCCTGGAGTGTTCGTACTGCCAAAAGCCTGAAATCATGATGTACAGCCTATTATATGTGATATAGAAGAATGTAGAACGAATGTAAACATACATTTCAATAATGCGCAGCATAGAAGAAGAATATTAACTACATGAGTATACACATTAAAAATAGTCAGTTGCATGTACTTATATTCATAATTATTACTGTACAGATAGATAATAGATAAGTAGTAATAGCAGTGATAGCAATAGCACGAGTAACACTTACGTATACCCATCGAAGCCATAGTCGTAAGCAAAACCATAGTATTCATCATAATCACAATCGTAATCATACTGGTAACAACTTCAACAATAATTCGTAGTATCACTGCTACTATGATTACGATTAGGATTATGACTATTATTGTTACTACCATTACCTAGTATTACTGTTATTATTGCTACTATAACGGCTGTTATTACTATTATGATTATTTTTATAATTATCCATATGTTCATCCTCCCTTATTGTTCTCAACCCTAAACCCTAAACCCTAAACCCTAAACCCTAAATCATTAATTTTATTCGCGAGGCCCTGGGCCGCTCCACGCAGTTTGCGCATCCCAAGCCCGGCCGGGGAGGAGCGCGACACGGCTGCCGCCCCGCGGCTTCGCAGAGCCTTCGTGGGTAGTTCTCTAAACTGGGATCTCGTTTTTAAAGGGTTCCTTAAAGGGATCTATAAGGGTATTGCATTCTTAGGGTAGTTCTCTAAATTAGAGTCTCTTTTAAGGCCCCAAGATAGTACGGCACCCTAAAAGGACCCTAACAGGGACCCTAATGTAGAGAACTACATTCGCAGATACGCGTGCGCTCTACCATAGGTGCCAGGTGTCGGTTTCCAGACTTCTTTGATGTGTGTACCTAGATGCAAGACGGACGACCGAACATCCGCGATATGCATCTGTTTGTTCAGAGGGAGCTGGTGCATCTTCCTGATGTGCGATTAGTCGTCGTTCTCATCAGCACAGCCAGTTGGAGGCATCCATGTTCTGGTTTCCGGTTCCACGAATCTACCTCTGAGCTGATGTTCGTCACCCAAAGGCTCGAACGGGCCCTAAACCCTGAACCCTAGAACCATGCGGACGGACACAAGTCAGCCATTTGATGTTTCAATTTGTCGATCCCCTTCCCGCTCTCTTTGCGTTGTGCCTTTCTTCGTCGCTTTCCACGGCCGAAGTCTTGGCCGATGTACTCTTGGGTTCACGGTTTAGGGCCCACCTTCTGTACCTTCACCGTATCTGCGCATCTCAATGTCTCGCTCCCCTTCTCTCTCTCTCTCTCTCTCGCTCTCTCTGCTTGTTTGCGCGCAGACTTCCACGCCTCCCGACAGTTTCATGTCTGCCTCTAGGCCAGCACCGAGCGCGGGCACTGCACATGGACATGCCGTCACTCGCCTGCAGATTGCCGAAGTTTCCGATACCCGGCACAGCCTAAACAGTGTTTGGATAGTCTGGATTTCGGGCTCCATTTTTGTCAGTGTGAGCCTCGAGAAGCCTGGAGAAGCCATTTGTGTAACCTCGACCGTAGCATCGAGAGAGAGTGAGTGAGTGTGTCTAGTTTTCGGTGTTGGGGCGACGGTCTGACATGCATGCGTTGAGGCTGGAAGCCGCTACCGCTACGATATAGAGCGACCCAGGAGTACGAGACACACGAAGCATGAGCTCCTTCTAGCTCCCAGATTGAGCACAGCCCGAACATGATGGCTAGCAAAAGCATGTAAAGACAAGTGGGCATTGCGCCATGCACAACGGCAACAAAGAGGTATGAGACATGCTTCTCGATCACATACTCACAGGACAAATTCTTTAGTTATGTAGCAAGCAGGAGAGAGAGAGAGAGAGAGAGCAAGCAGGAGATGAATAGTCACATCCGTGTTTGCATACATGGACAGAAGAGTTTCTTGTGCAGAGTGACATATGGCTCTGTGTGTGTGTAGGTCCCTGTACATATGGCATGCATGCTTATGTCTGTACGTTACAAAACTCGTCATACACACAGACATACATAAATAGATAAACCAACAAACACATATGTATATATTCATATGCTGATAAACCAGTATATTAATATATTCGACCCCGCACACAGACACGCACACACACACACACATGCATTGTCACGAGGTACCTGCAGGAGGCCCAGGAGCTTTACCAGCGGTTCTCCGACGCGTTCCAGGTGAGCACTTACCACTCGGAAAAGTGTCAAACAGGGTGTTTTGAAGGGTACCTGAAGGGTCGCCGGTACTTAGAGCAGTAGGGTCTTTTGAAGGAGGTACGTGAAGTGCAAAGTAGGTACAATTACCCATGAGCCTTTACAATATGTTAAAGCATCTTGTGACGAGGCAGAAAAGCGTGAGGGTCATTATTTTGAAGGATTCCGCGAAGAGTAGCAACTTCACGTGGAAATCAGGTTGAATCGGTAGAAGGTCCACGGAGGAGCAAGTCGGTGGCCATTGTTCATAAATCAAGGGTTGAGTTTCTATGGACCTGTACAAGTCAGATGATGCTGCTAAAGGCTGAAGAAGTGCAGACACGGAAAGTATACTATACAGTTCCGTCGACCCCAACGAACTTGGGTATCCATGGAGCAGAAGGCCATGCTTGCAGGCGGGTCAGTCTTGGGGTTCAGGATTCAGAGGCAAGTCCAGAACCAAAACGGCGATGGCCCAAGAAACAGCTCACAAAGCTTTCGCAAAGACTTTCGCTTTCGGCCTCCGGATCATGGCACCAATGAGCCAGCCGATGGAGCAGCAGATCACCATGGAGGGCCCGACGATCGCCATCTTCAATGTGGCGATGATCGGGCACGTGAACCCGACTTTCGCCCTCGTCCAGGAGCTCCGCAAGCGTGGCTGCAAGGTGCACTACTTCTTGCCGCCCGTTGCACCGATCCGCGCTGCTGCCATCGAATCTGGGGCAGTCGTGGAAGGCTACCTCCCTGAGGATCCATCAGACTTCGTGATGGAGAAATGTGGCATTGACGAGCCTTTGTGCCACATTGTGCCGGAGATTCTGGAAGATGATCGTGCAGAATACGAGAGATCGGTTTGGCCCCTCGCCCAGGCCTTCCTGTGCGGGGAGCATGTCATAGAGCGGTGCCGAGAGCTGGCAGTCAGCGTGGTTCTCTACGACCCCTTCCTGCCTCTTGGGCTTTTGGCAGCCACGAAGCTCGGCATCCAATGTGCTTCCTTGGTCACGTACCCTGGCATGGGCAGCCTTTCCGGCTTGATGTCGACCTTGGAAGCTGAAGGGCGGCTGGAGCGCGCGGCCACTATCCGCAAGCCATACGGGAAGGCTATCCAGGAGAAGTTCGGCGTGGACTTGTCCTGCGACCTCCTCACTCGCCGGCAGTTCTACACGAAAACTAATTTTGTCACCACTTGTGAGGACTTGATCGCTGAGCTGCCAGCTTTTGGAGAACAGAAGTGGGCGGATGAGCTGCGCAAGGAGTTCAGCTTTTCTGCCGTCGGCTGCCTCGTTAGCAGCTCTGCGCCACATGTGATCACAGCACGGTCAGACAGCTTCATCCCCCGCGTGAAGAGTTTCGGCCACTCCCTGCCTGTGGCAGAGCTCTCGGATCAGCTGGCCAAGGGCAGGAAGATCATCTATGCCGCCCTGGGCACCATGGCGCTTTCAGACCGGTGGAGCATTGACCTCGGCCGCATCAGTGCCGCAAACCTTCCTTACGGAACTACTGGCAAAGCCTTCTGCCAGCATGTGTGGAAAGCTCTCCTCGCTGCCATGGAGGAGCTTGGGGATGATTTCTTTTGTGTTCTCTCGGTGGGGAAGCAGCCGGATGCCCTGGACTTCCTGGGTAGCAGCGAGGCAGAGATCTTTGAGCTCGTACCCAGCAACGTCCTGATCCGTGGATTTGTGCCACAAGTGGAGATGTTGAACAACTACGCATCCGCCTTTATCTCTCACGTCGGTTTCAATAGCCTCCAGGAGAGCCTCATGGCTGGAGTGCCCCTGGTGGCCATCCCACAGGCAGTCGACCAGCCCGCGAACGCCTTCAAGGTGGAGCAGAGAGGCTGGGGTCAAGCTTTCTTCAAGCCCATGGAGACAGTCACCAGCACTGCTTTGGCGGAGGCTTTGCGCCAGGTCTGCGATGGGAGCGGCGGGTACCGACAGGCCGTGCAGTGTGCCCGCTTGGATCTTGCGGGCGGCGCGCCGCGGCTGACCAAAAGTGTGCTTTCGATGGCCTATCAGAGCAGTCCGGCCCTGGGTGGTTGCTAAAGAGTTCAACCGACGCCTCGTGGAACGCCAAAACAAGCAAGCCTTGAAGCTTTGTGATATCTAATTCAATGGGTGTATGAGTGCAATAACAACAGCATTTTGCACAGCGATGGGAAGCCGTTTTTCCCTGATGGGAAGAAGAAAGGGCCTGAATTCCGGACAGAAAGACCGAAAGTCTGAACCGGTTTTGCTTCGGCTCCTCTGAGCTGTCATGTACAGGGTGGGCCGATGTGCCACACCTGGGCTTCTCTTGTAAAGAAGAGCCGGGAGGCTCCCATCGAAGTCCGAATCTCCCCTGGGGGCTCTGTACAGCATGCCTCCCATGCTCAGTCGAGCCACGTGAACGGAAAAGCCTGCAGCAGTTTGCTGTGAAGTCTTCTGGTTCCCTCCTCAGTCTTATGATTCAGAACATTATGTAGACTAACTGTGAAAGCAGGGCCTTTAGAAAGCGAAGTTTTGCAGGGGGTTACACATGAGGGGTCGAATTTATGGCGCCAGCTTTGCCAGTAGGTCTATGGATGGTGCTGTTTGTTTTAGACCTGGCCGATCAGAATAATGGCAGAGGGTCGCTGGAACACTTGGCTGCATAGCTGTCGCCGTTGTTGCTTCTGCTGCTCCTGCCGCTGGCGCTGTGGCCTGCTCCTACTCTTCCTATTCCTCCTTCTGCTCCTACTCCTACTACTACTACTACTACTACTACTACTACTACTACTACTACTACTACTACTACTACTACTACTACTACCACTACTACCACAAGCACTCGGAATGCTGCACCGCAAACACCTCCACCGCCA